AGAGAAGCTGATCACACTGCACTGATGGCTGCACGACGAGTGAACTTAAACAGCAGCTTTTCTATATCCACATGGAACGTCAGTCAACGACTTCCAAGAAAAGTGTGACGTCCGTTAACAACTTACTCAGAGATGCACTGATCATTACCGGCTCTTTGGACGGGAGTCTTCAGGCTGGAGAGTCGGTTCAATCGCAATGCATTAGTTACTTCTGTAGTGTCATTTGAAAGGAGGTGAATGAACATAAAGTGTCGGAAGCACTTTTATGTGATGACGTCTCAGATGAGCTTGATGGTTGGCTGAAATATCTAGACTCAAGGCGGAGTATTCATAGAATGCCTTACTCAGCACAAGAAACACCTCAAGTTGAAAACCCCCTCAAGTCAGTGTTGTATATGGGCTACGGCGTTTGTGGTCTATAGTATTTCTGAGTAGGATTTCCCGACCTATGTTTATACTAGCAAGAGCATCGGTGCTCACCCAAAGTTGATGACCTTGGAACTTAATTCCACAACATAGGTAATTTTCAGTGCTACTTATTGTATGACGTGACAAATAACATCGAATCAGGCATTCGACATGAGGGAAATTGTAATACTGGATAATCACTTGAATGACATATTTAAAAAAAATTGAGAAAAAAATAATTCTGCTTGGTCACTGGAGTTCACTGATTCCACGTCACTTGAATAAAAAATTAAAAAAAATTGAGAAAAAAATAATTCTGCTTGGTCACTGGAGTTCACTGATTCCACGCTTAAAAGCGTGGAGCAGTTGTTTGAGGCTTTGAGTTCACACCAATCAGTTTACCTTTTACGGTGATCCAGACTATGTACGTCTGTGTCCCTCGATCTAATATTCATTTTGAAAGATAAAATGAGTAAGCAGAACTTGTGGTTTATTGAATTTGCCATAGATAGCAAGATAATCGTCAAACAGACTTCAAGGTCAGCGAAATACACTCATTTGCAAACTAATTTAGTTTTGCGAGAGACTCATCTGAAATCCAGCTGAGTCTCTCGTTTGTGATGTTTCCAGGCAACTGAATGTGCTGCATCAGGCCGCCTCATTTTTCAGTTGCAACGATATCCGAGATATCGCAATAGATGTATATTTGTAATGCACTACTCATAAGGTTGCTGAAAATTCGTCGACAGCATAAGGTTGACGGAAAATCGGGGATTGCGCCCACCCGATGATCCCCAAGAAGGGCGAAACCGCATGTGGAGTGTCGACGAATTTTCAGCAACCTCATGAGTAGTGTATTACGAATAGACTTCAAGGTCACTACTCATAAGTTCTCCTGCTATGGATATAGTAGGAAAGAAAAAACTCATAACTAAAGTAAGCTATACAAATTGTACCCTTGGTCAAACATTTTACACACGGAGTGGCTTCTATAGGCAGAGACCACTAATTGAGAACCTTAAATATACACGCCTCCAGATAGTTGTCAAACTGCAGACACTTTAACTGAAAATATCAGTACAAAAATGTGACAAAGGAAACATCATCATCAAAACTTACATAGAAAGCACGTTTCTAACAGGAAAAAACTATGCTTCTTCAAGAAAACCTGTCGAAACATTCTTGTGTACGCTGAAACATGATCAAGGCATTCAGAGCTCCCCAAGCCGTGATGAGCAAGACTTAATTCGGAAGCCTTGCTCACAGATATAGCGCATTTGTTGAGCTACTAGTTGCATGGTCTGTCAAACGTCTTAGAAGAAGCTTGGCCAGCTTTCATACAGGATATTCCATCAGACATGTATGTGCGTGTCTGGCAAAAGCGCCTCAGTTCCATTCAAGTTACGAGCAGTGACGCGTGTTTTTTCTATATGACGTCGACGCACCTAGCCGTTCGAAATGTTTTTATACTCGTAATAAACAAACAGATAATTGCGCATTAGATAGCTGCCATGTCATCTATGAACACGCTGATATCGCGTGAATTCACAGATAGTTTGGAATGATCGTCACCAAATAGGCGACTAATTAACGGACGGGACAAAACTCAGTGGTCAATATGACTGAAGTTCTATTTGATTTCACTCAAAATGAATAGTTCCGAATACGGCTCTGGCCGAATGCTGAGAACGTTACCAAAGTGCAGTTGGCTAAACTAATTTGTTTCCTGTCAGCTAATCCTGATCTCAATCGGAAGCATTAGAAGAACAGCCTATCAATTCCCAGGCATCTGGATGAGAAAGGATACAATCGAAATTTACACCCGCATCAGGTTTCTCAGAAGTCCTTGGCTTGTGAATTTTCTGGAGGCAAATTAATCAGCCAGTACTCATCAAAAGTGATTGGCGAGTCTCACAAGACTGTTCATCTCCCTCCATAAGTTGTAAAGCTGTTCTCCATAATGTCAGATTCTTCTTCAATGTTCTAGAAATGATATTGGCCATTATCGTGGAAGCTTAGTGTGAGAATTAAGTTTCGTACGTATATGCACATATGTAATTGGCGAATATGTACAGCGTATGGAATATTAAAACAAGAGAATAATGAATAGAGCAACGAATAGAGTATCAGTCATGTTATGTTCATCCGCCACACCTTGAATGAGCTTGTGGATGTTTATAGTCCAGTGGTGGTTTTGACTGCAATCTTTCGGATCTTCTCGGAATGGAAACTTCAGACTCTTCACAGGTTGTGTGTTCTTCAGATACAACGTTTTGTTCGGACTCATTAGTATTTGAAACAGCAGGGTGCCGTTAATAGACTGACACCTGGTATTGAACCCAACCTCGTCAATGTCTCCGATGACAAGAGAGATCATCCAAATCGAGAACTGTGACCATTCGTTTGCCATTTGATGAAAGTACTATTCCTGTGGCAGGTCGTAAATCATTACCTTTGAAAAATGTAACATCAGTCGTTTTGGCACAGTCAAGGCTTGTACGCAACGGACGAGATTTAAATAAAAGCGCGGGACTCTTCCCAGTAACGGAATGGACGGCGTTCTTGTATTGCATTAGAAAATTATCAATCCCACGGTCCAATTCCACAAAAGTAGCAGATTTAAGTATTCGGACAAAATTTTCAGCAAGTCCATTCGACTAGGGATGTCGCGGAGCAGTAAACAGATGTCGACAACCAAGACCCTTCAACCATTCCTCGAGGAATTTTGCAGTGAAATGTGTGCCGTTGTCAGTGACCAAAACAGTTGGTACACCTTCGTGGCTGAATACTTTCCTCAAGGCTTGCTGAGTGAATTCGGCACTTGGAGAAGTAGTTAGAAAAACTTCAGGCCAACGGGAATATGCGTCAATAAGAATTAAAGCATAGTATTTACCAAGAAAAGGACCACAGTAGTCAGCATGAACTCGTTGAAATGCTTCACAAGTAACTGGCCACGGATGCCACTGTGAAGACTTGTTATGAATCTTATGTGCACACTTAACACAATTCTTAGCAGTATGCTTGATATCAGCATCCAGTTCCGGCCACCAGCATGACAAGCGTGCAACGGATTTCATTTTATCGACACCCAGATGACCAGAGTGTAAATCTGCAAGAACAGCCGCTCGCGGAGTCGGTGGAATGACAACTCTATCCTCAAAACACAGCAAACCACCCGGAGTAACGGACAAGCTTTCGCGGCGACAGTAAAAAGCAGGAAATCGGCGTCGTTCTAGCTGCGTCCAGCCACGTCGCAATGCAGAGAAAATGGGAGCGAAATATCCTTTAGTGTCAGCAACAAGCACATCCCGCTTGACTGGTAATGGTTGAATCAGTAGACAATCTGAGTTGTTTGAATCAGAGTCACATGATAGAATTCTTGACAAGAAATCGACATGAGGAATCATTTTCGCACTACGATGAACTACTGTGTAGGTGTAAGAACTCAATGCAATAATCCACCGTTGCACCATAGCGGCAGATGACTTCGCCAGAGACTTCGTTGGATGATACAAGAACTTCAAAGCCTCATGATCAGTAGCAATGGTAAAGTTCAATCCAAAAACATATTTATGAAGCCGTTTGATAGCCCAATATACAGCAAGTGCTTCTCGTTGAGTCTGAGAATATCCACGTTCGGCTTTTGAAAGTCGACGGGAAATGCAGATCACTGGTCTACCACACTGTTCAAGGATTGCTCCTATTCCAGTGGGAGAAGCATCAGTAATGATCGTCGAATGATGTTTGGCGGAAAATGGCTTCAAAACAGCTGAAGTCTGAAGATAACCAAGCAGTGCACGCAACGCCTTCTCATGGTTGGAAGACCAAGAAAATTGACTGGAAGATATGATATCAAACAGACAACTTGCGTGTTTGGCGAAATTAGGAATGAAACGAGAGTAATACTGAAGTGCTCCTAGAACTGAACGCAGTTCTTGTAGATTGGTCGGTGATGGCGCATTTACTAAAGGGGATAGACGTCTAGTATCAGGTTTAAAACCGCTGCCATCCACAATGTAGCCAAGGCATGAAAACGATGGGACACCAAAAGTGCATTTGTCAGGATGATTAGCTACATTGAACTCAGAAAATCGCTTCGATAAAGACAACAACAGACGCACATCATAGGTAGCTTTGTCAGCAGCGTGCACAATGACGTCATCTTGGTACGTCTCAACACTCTCCAAATCTTTTGCAATAGTACTCATAACTTGCTGAAATACAGCTGGTGAGGCTATGGTTAAAGGTCGTGGGCGTGTTATCTCAATGAATTAATTAGTTTTGCGCTGTGCACGTCAGTGATCCTCTCACAGGGTGTCCCCTTTGACAGATATCCACACATGGCATAAGACATCTCATAGTGAACCGCATATGAAGAAACTCGCACCAAATTCACCACGTTTCAATTCATAGAATCAACATCAGATAAAATACGATTCATTGAGACTGGCCAATCCGTAACCATAGGTCATTCGAAGTTTCCTTAAACTTTTGAGGTTTTTCGGGACCAACTTACCTGACTGCACCAAAATCATGTACGTCCGGTGCAAGATATGTCGAATGCTTTTTTGCGCGACCGGTTGGATATCCAATCAACCTCTTTCGTCCGAATAGATCTCAATTTGGAAAATGCTCATTATTCCGGGTGGATAAGTGAATTTTGAATTTAAACAACCGTTCAAGCGTAACCCGCATACATAAGCGTAGGTTATTCCAACGTGTCCGTGAAGCCACGCGATATCAGCGTGTTCATAGACAACATGGCAGTTGTCTAATACGTAATTACCTGTTTGTTTATTATGAGCATTAAGACAGTCCGAACGGCTAGGTGTGCCGACGTCATATGGAGAAAACACGCGCCGCTGTTTGTAATCTGAATGAGAATAAGGTGCTGTTACCAGACACGCACACGCTTGTCCGTTAGGATGTCCTGTATGGATGCCAGTCACATTTGAGAGACGAATGCGCCATTTCTGTGAGAAAGGCTATTCAATTCCATGTACAGGATTAAGTCTTGCGCATCACGGCTTGAGGTGCTCTGGATACCTTGACAATGTTTCAGTGCAAACACTACTTTTTAGCTCCATACATATTGGCTCATTGCCTCCTCTCACCGTCCGACGTGCTTCTGATTTGCTCAACCTGTTTGGGAGTAATGGCACTGGACCGCAAGTTTTCTCTGGTCTTGCTCAGGTGTGCACACGCGGATGCCGCACGTGCTACGAACTCGTAAAATTGAGCAACAACTCTGTGGATTTAAATATCCGGTTGACAAGATCAAGTATGGTACCACCGGTATTTCTGATGATCAAACTGGTCGAAAAGACAACTTCGCCCTCTGTTTCAGAGTAACTAAAAATAGTGGTGTTTTAGTGGGTACTGCCTAAAACGAAAGTTGAATGTTCGGCCTGCAACTTACCTGCTTTTTTGCAGGTAAAATACCATCTGAATATCGCTCATACAAAGAATTGATTTTTCTAAGACTACTCAAGCGTTGCCACAAAATTGTGTGTTGTTCTGCGTCTCAATTTATTCCTCACAATGTTATCATCAATTTTCCGGTATCTAGTATCATGAAACTAAAATTACACGGCAATATTTAACGAGACCGGAGTGAATCCTCAAAAGTTTCATAGATCCTTTTGGAGGGAAATTGGTAAAAAGTAACTGCACATTAGAAGATCATACGACTTCACAGGACGTTTCATTGTTCTCAAGGTTGAAAAAAGTCCATAGGTACCTTTCAGACGGTGTTTTCGTAAGCCATTTTAGGGATAGCTGCCAGATAAATGGAAACCGTAGTAAAACACGATGTTTTAATTCTACGTTTCGGACGACTTCACGGACGTTTCATTGTTCTCAAGGTTGAAAAAAGTCCATAGGTACCTTTCAGACGGTGTTTTCGTAAGCCATTTTAGGGATAGCTGCCAGATAAATGGAAACCGTAGTAAAACACGATGTTTTAATTCTACGTTTCGGATGTCAGTGGCAAGCTTTCCAAATCTTTCTATGTCATACCTCATTGAAAATGGTGATAAGGCGAATCGTTTATAGCGAAGATGTGGCAAATGGGTTTGTGGATTTTATTGGCACTTAGAAGCCCGTAAAATGGAATTGCACGGTATCATGCAGGCTAAAGCCTACGGAATTTCGTTTGGGAATTGAGTTATTTAAGCTCAACACAATGTTTGCTGATGCTTCGAGAATTTTTACCGGACAAACAACCTTAGAGTTTGTTATTGGTGGCGGAGCAGTTTATTCCTGTGTCGCATGTTCTTTTTGCAGGATTTCATACAAAATGTTACAAAAAGTTTACTTTTGTTTGTAACACGATCCATCGAAACATTGTTTCCAGTTGAAACTTTGAATTTAAACCACAATCCCACTTTGTTGAACGCTTTGATGACCATGAACGTCGATGATGTAGTGTTTTACTTTGCCTATCAAATGTCCTTCACTTTTGGCTGCATTCTAGAAAGTACGAAAAAATTTGCACTACAAAACGGTTTCCTAAAGGGTAAATTGCTGAAGCATACAGTGAAGTCAAAAATATCTCTTGTTCGTTTCGTTTAATGAGACTTCAGTGTATTTTTTACGTTAGCTGTTGAACATCATCTAAGTTATTTGACTTTCCAAATGTTGCTCATTTTCCTTTTGGGCCTTCAAAATATCAGTAATTTGTTCTCCCTGTTTGACCACTAATTGTAACTCACCTACCATTTCCTCACAGTTGATATCTTTTGATGGTATAAAGTGACAAATTATTTGAGTATTTTGAAGCCTCACAAGTAAGTCAGTTTACCTTAACTTCTGTTTTACAATTAAACACCCAAGTAAAATCGGATGAATAGATTATCGGATTCAACTTAAACTTTGTCATTCAAGTGGTCTACTCAACCCTTCATTCTACCCAAGTCTAGTGAATAATGATCAAGAACAGGACCGGCGACAGCTAGAATTTATTTGATTTCGTGATATGTTTATTGTCAACTTCTCACGCTGTTTCAATACCTTTCTAACCACGAACAGTATAAAAGAAACTTATGGCACTTCGTGAAATGCACGCATTTCCAAATGAATTTGGTTTTCACAAGAGAGAGTGTATTTCTCGAAAACAGTCCAATTTGGGTTCAAGTAGAACATAAGGTTGACGGGACTGCGACTACTAGATTAGCCCTAAGGAAAGCAAAACCGGTCGTGGGCTGTCGAAGAGTGTTCAGCAACCTTGTGAGTAGTTTTCTTCATGAAAATTTACTGCGATATCTCGAACATCGTGCCGACCGAAACATGAGGCGACGTGTGTGCAGCACATTCAGTTGTAGAATATCATAAACGAGAGAATCACTTGAGTCTCTCGTGAAAACCAAATTGATTTGCAGATAAGCGTATTTCTCGAAAACAGTCCAATTTGGGTTCAAGTAGAACATAAGGTTGACGGGACTGCGACTACTAGATTAGCCCTAAGGAAAGCAAAACCGGTCGTGGGCTGTCGAAGAGTGTTCAGCAACCTTGTGAGTAGTTTTCTTCATGAAAATTTACTGCGATATCTCGAACATCGGGCATCTTATTTATTTAGTTTCTTTTCCACACAGGCTTGCTTTGAAATAGGCCTGCCGGAATTTGTTCATACAACAGAGCAGTTCCGGGTTGCAACAGTGTCTTCACAACCCAGAGCCGACCTAAGGCAGATTGCCTGCACGTATAAGGATCAAACCAATTTGACCATTGAAGACTGAAAATTCAGAGGTATCTAACAGATTTGGCTCTGTTCAGCTGAAGTTCGGCTAGTGAAACATTTTGCTTCTCTGTTATCAAGGGGGCCGGCCTATCTTAAACAAAATGTGCGGACGTGAAGCACATACTGATCATAGGTGATTGTAAAATAACGAGATATTAAATCAGGGTGATCCGAGTAAACAGGCACCTGAAAGTAATTTTGCGATTCGATTTATAGATTCATTTTCATACCAGTCTGATTTGGGCGTGAGACTCACATGACACCCAGCCAACTCCTGAATTTTTGGTGTTCTTCTCATCATAACGGGACATCCAGCTGAATTTCAGGTGGGTCTCTAGTCAAAACCAAAATTGCTTGCAGGACTAATTTCGTGCAATTTGTGTTCAAGTAGAAAATAAGTTTGAAGGGACCTCGCAAACTGCGCCTATTTGATAAGCCATAGGAAGGGCAAGACCGTTCGTAAGCTGTCGAAGAGTTTTAAGCAAAATTATACGTCTACGCAATGATTTTACAGTTGCCTTGGTTCGCATATGCGAACGTTACTTTCAATTTCATATGGAACCTTAATACCTTCCTAAATCTTGTCTTCTCAGTATACTCGCATTCATTCAAATACACAGCCTTGTTAAGAAAACTTGGTAAGGCTCTCAAACAGTCGACTTTATGTCTGCTGACATGCGCAAAGCTTGAATTTCAATAATTAAGATGGCGGAGAGCCAGTAAACAAGAAGGATAATGAGAAACGCCATTCTGATCGTTTGCACATCTAACTTCGTTAGCATCCGACGGGATTGTAAACTAACACCATACCCAATGAATTAACGGGAGGCCGGGTTTCCTCCGATATGAGTGGCGGCAAATCCTTTTGAAAAATAGTTTATAAGCACAATGGTCTGCGTCAGCCAACAGCTTACCACAGTGTTTATCAACCAATAATATCTGCGTTTTAACAGAAAAAAGAGTTCTGTTGAGCTTGTAATCGGCAAGCACCCGTTTCTCTAAATAAACTCATTAGGAAACGCCAGCTGCGTAGACTTTGTGGAAAAGTATTTAGATGACATTTTCACTCATAATTATTTTTAGAGCATGAGAAAAGCTTATTCTGTTGTTACTGAGCACTAATTGAGACGCCTTCGTAGAATAAGTATACATATTGTTATAAATGAAGGGATATCGCAAGTGTACACATTGTTATTACGGCATAGCGACGATCTTAATCGAAAAACAGCTTATGTAATTTGTGGATTGTATGTGTTCTGACCAGTAGATATTGCTGACTCTTGTTCGATAATATTTGAACATTTTCATCTTTACTGTATCCGCTATTTCTGTTAAGTTACAGAACGATCATCCATGCAGCAGGTTAAAACACATCACGCAAAGAACGCGCGATTCATTCAGAGGTGATTCTTTATAGCTCTCAATCCAGGTCACTACTGTTTCAACCAACTCTTCTTTTTTAACAAACTGAGCCTTACAAACACAGCTGAGCTTCACAAGGTAACTTCAGGCGTACTATCATCATCTGATTTGTTTTATTCACTCATACTCTCCCTCTATTCGTCAACCACGTTTCTTTAGTTCCACGAAAGATAATATTTTCAAGACATACACGACCCAAACCAATTGACACGACATTGTATTGTATCACCAGCGCTCAGGCGTCAAGACTTGAGTTTGTCATTGCAGTCTTTTCCAGAGTATTCAGAAAGCAATTCTTATAGCTTAACGCTTGTGTCCTAGAAAACACAGTTACACATTTACCAGCTCGTACTCAGTTTTCGTCAGTAGATTTGCTGAAGACATTCCTAGAAGCTTTTGGACAAATCAGCTGTGTTTCATCAAGAAGTAGCATTTCGTTTAGCGCCAATGCTTTCTCAACAGAGACGTGTATTTGCCAGCCAACTGACCCCCTTAGAACTTCACGATAACAATTTCCTTCACCTTTTTACAATATCGCCCACTGAACAAGGGACAATCCCAATGAATATATTTGTATCCATAATGAACAATTCTTAGTGGAAAATATAGAAAAACTTACAGCCAATGGATGTTATTATTATCAGGAAAATATACAGGTGTGTTCCGATTGCCTTTGAAATACAAACATTTTAACCTGATGAAAAACTATATAAATTTGCCAGATGAGTCAGGTATCACTAGAAGCGCTTGCAGTCAGGATGGCAAAAGTTTAAGCTACGTGGGAGGATGGACTAAGACTTCCACTAATACATAAAGACACTTATGGGGATAATAGGCAGAATATATCATGGGCGAGTTTTGGTACTTCGCTTAGACCTCTGGAACTGCAGTATGAGAGAATGAAGATTTCCGCGGTACGAATTTAGCTAGTTTAAAAGCAGATTCTGGTAAGTTTTAGGGCCTTTGTTAAAAATGGCTTGAATTTTAAGATCAAATCTTGTATTACTGTACAAAAGCACAGAATAATTCAGACACCAGCATTCAGTCAGCAACGGTCTTTCTTTGCGCCTGTCTGTCTAACATACAGAGTCAAATATAACTCTGACTACATAACTGTATGGCCACCAGATTTTACGCCAATTCTTGTCTCACATAGCGGGAGGAGCGCGAGTTGTATGTGCAAGTTGGGTGAATTCACTTCACAGGACTGTTGTTCATTTTATAAAAAGCTCAGGACCAAAGTAGGGTAAATAGTTGGGAGATGGTACACAGTGCTTTCATTTCTAAAACGTTATTACGACGTTATGTAAGGTGTGCCCAAACTGATATTTTGGAATAGTGATGATAGCTTTGTCTTGTTTGTTGAACGCACTGGGTCTTATTCCTGGCACAACTGCAGAGACGAATTGCTCACTGGTACATTCAGGAACCAAACACACCTACTATTACTTAGTTTACGTTTAAGAAAGGTACTTAATCTCAAGTTGTAATTGATTTTAAATTATTTCGATGTCAGTGCTTAGTAAACCCTTTTTTTCAAATGCACAAGACATGGAGGTCAACATGGGGACCCCTAAGTGTTAAAAAAATAACATTAAGTCCTTTGTATACACCTCAACATTTAGAGTGAGCAACAAGTGGTTTGATAGCCTGGTGAATGGTTTGGGTATTTCGTAGATATATGTTGTGCACGGTCAAGTGCGGCCGATAATCGCCGTCTTAGTGCCTAACGAAAAAATTTTTCCCCATCACATGTTGTTTGCATTTTGTGGCGTGGCTCTCTACGGTATGATGATCAACTTAACGTACACAGATATCTCTGGGATAACGAGAATATATAAGGCTGTTGAAGTTTGCTCTACGCTCCTACACTCTCATCCTGAATGTGAAATTGATAGCACGAATGAAGAACAGCATATTCCTTGTCCACGTTTTATTTCGCTCGAGGCCTTTTGTCTAAGAGTTGCAAGATAGCAATGTATATGTTAATCCAACGAAAACAGTAGGACAGCATCCATTAGTTCCCCATCAACAAGAAGCCTATGTATATTGCCAGTACAGTGACCAGATATCACCCGGGCTATTGTGGCTGTGCTGAGCATCGGACTTTCGCGAATAAATGTTTAGTGGGCTTTTCCGGCAAAATGTACGCAACTTTCCCCTAAGATAGTAGCTTTTAGCCCGTACTTTCGGTAAGAAGAAAATAACCAGATTGACACTTCGAGTAAACTGAGCTTGGGACAAAATTGGTGAAGACAATGTATAACTGATATATCTCAAAATTTATGTATACTAACTAGTAAATTCGCATAGTAATTACAAAAACAATTTTCTATTCTGAAATGCTGTGCTGCACTTTAATGAAGAAAAGCGCATCCTGATCTTAATCACCTAATATCAATTTACCCAATAGCTTTTATGTAAAACCTGGGCTTGATTCACGACACCGCTATGCACATTCTAAATTGCAGAAAACTGCTGCGCTTTTGTTGCTAATCGAATTGGAAAATGTTGGCGTATTCCTCAGATAGACTTAAATTAGTGATCGACTGTCCCTTTTTAAGTGGTCCAGATAGCTAAGTGGTTGGTGAAGCTGACCCTCATTACTTCAGGACATCAGCATTTTTGGAATCTATTCGCCAAATCAAAGTTCGCAGTGCATACCAATTCCTTCAAACAAATCTGCTTTATTTTCGTCTTATTTCATCAGCAGCTGAAACCTGATAGTGGAATTATTTTGGCACCCTTATTTGAGTAAACGTAGTTTTACTTCAGTTTTGCTTTTCTGAGATTTCTCACTGTCTTTTGGCGTTGAGGTTAGTTATGCTTATGTCGTGTAACCTGGTTTTGTGCCTTTGCAAACAATGCCGCCTTTATACGTCTGCAAGATTGCCTTTTCCGCGTCAAACGACTATGCTTACCCACATTTTTTGAGAAACCAGTATCATCATCTGTGCCGCATGATTGGCCACTAAAACACGAAAGCTCATCGATTAACTGCTGGGCTACTTTTCATCTTGTCATTGTCGGCTCACAGTAATTGGTGTTGCGAGAGTGTAAATTTCCGATTCGGAATTTATGTAGGTTGTGTTTCTGTACGATAAATATGTTTTTCTTCTTACTCAACTCTCTACGATTGAGTATAGAACAGACTACAATTGTCTTTCAGGGTATCTTATAAAGTTGCATCCTATAGAGTTTCTGTCGGTCCATTTTGCTACAAAATACAGTTTACAAGGGACAAAACCAAAAAATGTGCATGAATATTTTATTCTATGGAATCTGGACTAATTACGGGAGTATTCAATGGCAAACTAAATGAAAAATTAAAATGGGAATGTGACACCTTCAAATGTAGTAGATGGGGAAATTAACGAACAAATTTACAAAGTAAGGCAATGGATATTCGTGAGGAGATCAACATTCAAAAAATTCGTCAGGTCATTGGTAATTTTTCATTTGACCACCTTCCGCAAAAATCACCACTTGATGCCTTTTATCACACTCCACAATGTTTCAGCACTAGCCTGGACTTTTTGCCGTTCTTCGGGACTTAAATCCTGCAACACAATATGACTAATACCAACGGAGGTTACTAAGCAAGGAAGGCTTAGATACACTTCGTTGTTTATACCGTGTACACCTTTAGCACATGTCGATATGGGATATATAGTATATGAGTTGTTTAGGATTGCGCTGCATAGTGAACGGCACGCAAGTCCGATCGCCCAGGAAGTGTATCCTTTCAGCTTGATTATATGATATGCACTGTTCATCACCTGCCGGTAGATGTCGGAAAAATCTTCTGGATCGTCCACTGCTCCTATACGTGGATTAACAGATGATAACCTAACCCCTGCAATGTTCGCGTAACTCCAGACTGGGACACTGGAGTCACCATGCTCTCCAATGATATATGCATGCACCGAATTAGCCGACACCCCCAATTTTTCTCCAAGAAGATGGCGAAATCTTGCACTGTCCAGCAATGTCCCGGTTCCCATGATACGATTTGGTGGAAAACCACTGAGTCTGGCTGCAACATATGTCAAAACGTCAACCGGGTTTGAGACTACAACGATGATGCAGTTTGGGCTGTGCTTGATTACCTCAGGAATTATGCGCTTGAATATGTCAACATTTCTTTGCACCAAATCCAGTCGTGTCTCCCCCTCGACTTGTCTTGCTCCCGCCGTAATAACTACAATATCCGAATTCGCAGTATCCTTGTAATCACCGCTTCCGTGCACTTTACATCTTCTCGTAAATTGTTCCCCGTGCTGTAAGTCGAGAACTTCACCCATCACTTTATCGGTTGCCACATCAACTATACAAAGCTCACCGGTTATTTCCATTAGTGAAAAAGCAGCGGCCATTCCAACCGAACCGGCACCGACCACCGATATCTTTGTTCTTGCAGAGGGTTCTGTACCACCTGGGGTAACACGTTTCAGAACACCTGACATTTCCTGTTTATTCCAGCAGTTTAACAGTCGTCAAACTTAACGCTATCGGAACAGCTTTATGCGGCCCTCCGGAGGTATCCTCAATAAATATGCTTTGAGGCGCGAGGTTATCACAGTGGGACAGATCCTGCGACGGCGGGAGGCTGCAGAAATTAATTCCTGCAGATAGAAAAGTCACCGAACGGTTGTGATCCGGGAGTCCGTAGGCAAGGAGAAGTAAATATACCTATGTAGAAACCACACAGCAGTAACTGTACCATATATGCAACGTGCATTTTCATATTCCCACCTAACGGGGACCTCCACAAATAAGTCAGTAAAACCTTCCCTTTCAAGGTCAGATGTCGCACAGATGAGTTAGTCGGTAGCTATTATCCGAGGAGCAGTTTGACAATCCACTATCGCATCAGGTAAGTAGCCTTATTCTTGGTGCTGTGGTTCTCCAATACTGTGTTTTCTTCAAAGAACCGCTGGTTAGCAAATTGCAGCACCAAACCGATGCTCAAAATTTACGCGAATTCCCCAGAAGACATTCATGATATCAGTAAGAAAAGACTGAATACATGGTTTGAAGTGAGGCCGCAACGACCCTCAGCTTAACGAGCAAGCTATCACATGCCAGAATATCCACCCCTGTGAAAGACATTTCAGGTTGTCTATAAAGAGCTTTCCACCGGAAGAATTTAAGGCCGCCACCGTCAGTTTGCAGTTGGGTGGACTTTATAAAAGTTTTGATGAGGCTGTTATCTAGCTTCCTACCGATCCAAAAACAATTTATAACTGAAAATGACGACTGCTAAACGATTTTGGCCACCAAATCAGATACTGTCAGTAAACCACTGTCCTAGGACGGTGTCAGGAGGGGACATTCCGACACCAAATTGTCTGTCCGGGCTAATCCCAAAGAACCGTGAGCTGATTTTGGAAACACGGACTAGGAATTCACTCAACCACCAAGCCAATCAAAAACCGTTACTCAGATGACAAATCCTCATGGTAACTTTTGTTTGGAGAGCCGTTACTATAAAATGAACGGTACGATGCATAAGCTATAAACATCCTACTGGTCATTACCCCTAGCTGGTGAGGTCTCCTGTTGAAATTCCCGTTCTCCGCAATCACGTCCAGTTAATCGTCTTGGACATACAACCTAAGACTGAGAATGTAGTCATCTGCAAACTAGTTCACATAGGTGTCCGCAGAAATGTAACCAGTTTCAAGAAAGCCAGTGCGACTCGTCAGTTGCGTGCCGAGCGGGAGGTTTTAAGACTGATCACGACGGACTGCCTCTAGGGGGAAGAGCTCCAAGGGATAATGTTGGTTTCTCGTGGCTCAGGAGATCTGCAGGTAAATTTAACGGCATGAACTCCATAGATCCAGTGGCTGGTTGAGAACCGCTGGTTAGCAAATTGCAGCACCAAACCGATGTTCAAAATTTACGCGAATTCCCCAGAAGACATTCATGATATCAGTAAGAAAAGACTGAATACATGGTTTGAAGTGAGGCCGCAACGACCCTCAGCTTAACGAGCAAGCTATCACATGCCAGAATATCCACCCCTGTGAAAGACATTTCAGGTTGTCTATAAAGAGCTTTCCACCGGAAGAATTTAAGGCCGCCACCGTCAGTTTGCAGTTGGGTGGACTTTATAAAAGTTTTGATGAGGCTGTTATCTAGCTTCCTACCGATCCAAAAACAATTTATAACTGAAAATGACGACTGCTAAACGATTTTGGCCACAGTTCAAAGGTATATTAGGTGGGTTCAACAATGAACCTCAGTTTTCTGCAGAACGGAGTGAGATGGGATGCTTAAGAAATACGAACGTCCCTTTAAATATCAGGCCTGTATGGGTGCCCAAACACAAACGATTCGCTTCAGTATTCTATGCACCTTAACTTTATAGCAGCTGCTATAATGAATATCATCTGCTCGCGGTTTGCATAATACTTCCGCGCACTTAAGTACGACAATGATATAATGTAGAAGTTGTTTCTGGTGTTGAAAGGTAACTAAGTTACCGGTGCCAGTGTGAACGCCATCCACTACCCTCCGGGATAATTTTCCCAACCATGTGACAAATAAGATGTAAATAAGGCAACCCATGTACGTGCCGCGCAATCCAGCAGAACCATGAACCGGGTTTCGAATTCCACTACTTTTGACTTATATATAAGTTGTCAGAGGTCAGCACGAAACTCACTGAGGTTCTGCAGAATAGCTCTAGTTGTCTCGGGTGGGACAACGGGACAATTTTTTTGATCACGTGGCTGTTGATCTGATTGACGTGCAAACTTTTCATCACCCTACGAGGAGAATTAATCGGTGCGCAGCTGATGATGCAGCATAACTACCAAGCTCGGCGATCAGATCAACGTCAACCTGATTAACAACCAACAGAGTCATCCGGGTTACCAATATTCCAACAAATTTCCAACGGCAAGGGCGTTCACTCATTGGGGTAGTTTTCGTTTGTCCATCCTATTCATCACTTCACTGCCCTTCAAGGCTGTGGATTTCTTCGATGATAATGTCATTGATGGAAATTCAAAAGTGGTTCTCTCCCACAAGCTAGTCCTCCATTGGAGGACACCAAACGGCGTGGAAAGGAATTGTCAAATGGACAAGACTGAATTTACCTGGACGGAAATACCTGGAAGGTATGGCTTACGATAAATAACATTTTCTGATTAGACGTCGGGCTCTTCCAGAACTTGTCAAAATCTATTTCTTGATTACAGAAGCCCGAGAATCCCTGCGTGCGTATTCTTTTAGGCGGAAGGAAATACAAGCGTACAATTACTTAGGTGACCAGTGACTTGAGGAGCGCCGCTCTAAGATTAACGCATTCTCAATGGCCCCACCCTCGGTTGTCGACGCCATCTCACCTGTAGGGTTACAACAGTATCACGAGTCGCAGAGTACGAATGTCTAGCTTGATCATCCGATGTCCCTATTTCCCGGAAGATCAAAATCGGGAGATAATAAAACCCAACAAAAAGTTGGCTGACGCCAATAAGTGTGAATTTTATCAGACTGTCCGACAATATGGAGCTAGTTCAGTATGACACAACACGCTCCGCCAGTTTCCTTCGTCTGTATAAAAAGCACAGCTGAGCTAAAGCAACCCCCCAGAGATGCGTTTATCTGGACAATTATTTGATGCATTTTTGCGAATACAGTAGACCAATGCTGGCTGCTGACGAATTGAATGTCCACGCGTTATTTAAAAACTTAGACGCATGAATCATTTTACCGTTCAGTCAGTCTTCAATGGCCACCTGTGTAGAACTAATACCACCTCCTTTGTTTGGCCTCCGCCGGTGACGCCTGGGTCGACAAATATTTGGTTACCCCGGAAGCCTCTGTGAAACGTCTGAAAGCGTTCTTTTCTATGTCAACTTACTGAGACTGGTTACATACTACGCATAGCAGAAGAGTAAAGAGATTTAGCTATCCTCAGTGATATACTGTCACTGTTTAACAACCAACGAAAACTGGTGAGATTTAGGTGAAGGAATAAAGTAATCCAGTTATCAGGTTATAAAATATGACGAAACCAAAAATAGCCAGCGGAGAATCGGATGGAAATTGCTGCGATTCCGGTGATTTGGAAGTCGAACTGAAGCCGAAGCGAAACTTTGTGCATAAGACCGCATTACAGTGAAACATAGGGGATTTTCCACAATGAATCATCGTATTCCCACCAAATGTTTACAGAATGATGACCGGCACGTTAAATATGTTGTTTATTTGCCAAAACTTGATTATTCTGCCCGATGTTGCACTCCGGAGTAAACTTGCTGCATTGGCATGAATAAGTATAGGACTGTGTCCTTTTTGAGTAAAGCCACGTGCGCGCTTTTCTTGAAAGCCCGCGGAACTGTTGAAATATTAGCGCAAGTACAGTAATTCTGGTATGTCCTCTGTGATAAGCTACTATGCAACCAACGCCAAGTCTACAGCAGTGCGAAATCAAGAACTTTGAAGTGTTGGACAAAATGAAGGTTGCATGCCGGGTATCACTGGGGAACGTATATCCTAGCTCACCACCCTGTTGGTCTCAGTTAGCTTTGCCGTTGCTGCATCGAAGAAGCTGGTTTGACGCTTGATGGCGTTGCAAACAACGGCCAGTTGATAGCAAACACGTTGGGAACCATAGTTGCAACCGCCTTATAAACTTCTAGATTTTTGTGATGTTTTATAAAGATTTTACGAAGCTTCAGGCTTTTAGGCTTCTACGTTCTGTATTATGACGCAAATACATAAAAAAAAGGAGATCAGACCCTGTCTCCTGAAAATTTACATATATTGAGATTGATATAACCAGAGAAGCAAGCGTTATTTTGTATAATTTGCATGTTTAGTTTGTGGGATGTGAATCTGTACAAGAATTCCAAAATATTTTAAAAAGCAAGGGCCCATACACACATGAAATGGATTGGACTAGGAAATCATTAGTCCTATTGTGAGACCGGTTATTAAAAGAACGATCTTTCCCGACGAGTCTGTCTACGTGGAAACAGACAAAGCTTCATTTAACAGATTAGACAAATAGTGACATATGTTCAAGTGGATATCACCCACATGGTTCATCTATAAGGTCCACCTTAAACCACGCATCTTATCTGAAAAGGCATAAAACCAGCCAGGCCTCATGCGATTTGGGTCTTGTGGCATTACCCTCAGCTTCCGTCATACAAATGACATTTTTGCGACCGAGGTAGCAATATCCTTGTTGACACTAGGGCTAAAGTGCAGTACAGACGCAAAGTTCATCCAAATGTATTTAAAGCCTCGGGGTGGAAAGACGACAATAGAAAAGGTGGGTGTGCACATGGCGCTAAACGATCCAAAGCATTCTGGGGGCCCACGCTTCTAAGCACACATTCGGAAAATCTAGAAATAAGCTGGCAGCGCAAACGGTACTGCTACCAACCAGCCGAATTTTCTTGCCTTCAGCCATGCGCAAGAGGGAACCCCATCCTAGAAGATGCAG